CACTGACATATATACACTACCAAATGTAAAATAGATAGCTAGTGGGAAGCAGCTGCATAGCACAGGGAGATCAGCTTGGTGCTTTGTGACCACCTGGAGGGGTGGGATAGGGAGGAGGGAGGGAGACACAAGAGGGAGGGGATATGGGGATATATGTATAGGTATAGCTGATTCAGTTTGTTATACAGCAGAAACTAACACAACATTGTAAAGCAATTATACTCCAAAAAAGATATTTTAAAAAAGTAAAGATAACAAAGAGAAAAAGAAAAAAACACACATGCACCCCAATTCATTGCAGCACTATTTACAATAACCAGGTCATGGAAGCAACCTAAATGCCCATTGACAGACGAATGGATAAATAAGATGTGGTACATATATAGAATGGAATATTACTCAGCCAAAAAAAGGAACCAAATTGGGACATTTGTAGAGACATGGATGGACCTAGAGACTGTCATACAGAGTGAAGTAAGTCAGAAAGATTAAAGCAAATATCGTATATTAACACATATATGTGGAATTTAGAAAAATGGTACAGATGAACCGGTATGCAAGGCAGAAATAGAGACACAGGTGTAGGGAACAAACATATGGACACCAAGGTGGGAAAGCAGGGGGTTGGTGATGGGGGGGTGAATTGGGAGATTGGGATTGACATATATATGCTAATATGTATAAAACAGATAACTAATAAGAACCTGCTATATAAAAAATTAATTTAATTTAAAAACAAAGGAATACACCCTTGGTCGTCGAGGTCTTGAATCTGAGCTGCTGATTCTTGGAGGATATTATGTAGTCACGCCTATTGGTACCACTACAAATTCAGAGACTTCAACCTCAGATGAGGCCTCAGCACATCTTTAAGGCTATCCTTTTTTTGTATTCTCTTTTTCCTCTTGCAATTCTTCAGTGATTATTCTAAACCTTTTTAAATCTCAGACCATTCTCCTCAGTCTCAAAAGATAAACTTTCCTCCTACAAGGATTATCTCTGTCATTTCCCACCTCAATACCTAAAAGCTTATGTAAAACTGTTCTCTCACTTGCTTGCTGCTGTTTCAGACCTCAATTCTATTTTCTTTGTTCTAAAATACTTCTTGAGGGTTTGCTATGAGCCAGATAATGCTAAAGGAAAGACAAAATTCCTCTCCTCAAGTAACATTAAGTGCTATTATGAGACCAATGCAGAATGATTTGGAAGTGTATGGGGCACACCTGAGACTTCCAGGTAGGGGGTGTGTCAGGCTACTGAGAAGAGGTGATGTCTAAGCCAATCTGAAAAATTACTGAGTAAGAGTCAATGCCCCTACCGTGTGCCCCCAGCAATCTCTACCCCCTCTCCATGCCGCTCAACACACTGTATTGTAGTTTATTTAATGAGGTCCTCTACAAGACAAGGAAAATCCACTGGCAAGTCAGTCTATCTTGTTAACCACTGTATCCCTAGCACTTAAAAGAATACTTGCCAAAGAGAAGCACTGAGTGATTATTTATATTATGAAATAATGAAAATAATATGAACTTCAGCGTTAAAGCTGTCCTAGATAGTACCAATATTCAAATGATTTAAAAACTAGTATGGCTGTTTGTGTATCAGTTGAATATCAATCGTAGCTCTGGATTTAAATTTTGGCTTCATTTCCTATGAGATTTTAAAATTAAGGCAAATCAGTTAAATAATCTATCATTTTATCATCTGTTCATGTTGATGGTAATAATATTATAATTCATAGGATGGTTTTAATGATGAAATGAAAAAGCATATGAAAAAACCCATTTCAGTGCTGCTACACTAAATACATATAAGTGTTTGACTTCCTTTCTAGACTGCTTTTAAATGAGCTATATTTATAGTTAGATAAGAAAATTAAAATATGCAGAAACCAATGCAGAATGAGAGCACTCTATTTAGTCTTTCCTTCATGATTTTTCTCAAGTGCTCAACTTAACAAATGATTAGGTAGTTTGCTTCTAAACTTAAAATGCATTTATCCTTAATCTTCTCTATAATGTAAATTTAAAATTTGCTGTTCATTCATACCTAATTAACCAATTTGTGCCTGTATGTCAACCTTAGATTATATTTAACAATTCAACAGGAATTTAAGAGCCTATTATCTGTGCAAAGTTGTAATTTATCTTTATCATTCAGGGACTACTTTATGCAGACACTGCTGGGTGGCTTCTAGCTCAATAAATGCTCCAAGATGCTTAATATTTTCTTTTCTTTTTTTGTTTTAATAATGAGTATAACTGATGGATTTCATCCAAAATAAGAAATCAAAGTATTGATAGAATGGAAAGAAACAGCTTACTGGCATATTTAAAGGATGGTATCTTTTGCAGCTTTAAATTGTTTCCAGGAAAAAGTTAACAAATAAGTAGAAATCTGATAAATTGTGCTAAATGCCAACTTTAAACCTTAGTAATCAGTTTATATGCTTTATGTCTATATTGGATGGCTGCAAGAATCCTAGTATTTTCTATTATTCAGTATATTAAGACTTGTGAGAATAAAACAACAGATCGAACAAGAATAATTAAGTTCTTCAGGCTGGCTACCAAATGCAATACTGTTATAAAAAGATTAGAATTATATCAGTAGGTTGAACAAGGAGAGTATTAATTTCAGAGCAGCTTAGTTATTTCTCCCTACATGTGCCCATTCTCAATTGACCTTTATCTAAGCTATATTGTCATGTAAATCACACAGCTGATTTGCTTAAAGGTAAAATTTCTTCCACTAATACTGCAGTATCTGCGGGCCTCTCACTGTTGTGGCCTCTCCCGTGCGGAGCACAGGCTCCAGACGCACAGGCCCAGTGGCCATGGCTCACGGGCCCAGCCGCTCCGCGGCACGTGGGATCTTCCCGGACCGGGGCACAAACCCGTGTCCCCTGCATCGGCAGGCGGACTCTCAACCACTGCGCCACCAGGGAAGCCCCGATAATGATTTTTTAACATTTTATTAGTGATTGATTTAGAGACCTTTAGTTACCTATTTTTTCTTTTGTTGCCTATGCTTTTGGTGTCACATCCAAGAAATTGTCAAATCTAATGTCATGAAGCCCTCCCCCTATTTTTCTTCTAAGTGTGTCATAGTTTTAGTTGTTACATTTAGGTCTTTGATCCATTTTGATTTAATTTTTCCAGTGTGAGGTAAGGGTCAAACTTCATTGTTTTGCATACCAATATTCAGTTTTTCCAACCACATTTCCTCATGGGATGGTCTTGGCACATCTGTTGAAAATCATGTATGTGAGGATCTTTTTGTGCTCTCCATTCTATTCCATTGGTCTATATGTATGTCTTTACACCAGTACAATGTTTTGATTCTGCAGCTTTGTAATATGTTTTGAGGTCAGCAAATGGGAAGCCTCCAGCTTTGTTCTTCTTTCTCAAGATTGTTTTGGCTATTTGAGTTCCCTTGAGATTCCATATTAATTTTAAGATGAATATTTTCAATTTTGGTTTTATTTCTGATAATAGCCATCCTAATGAGTGTGATGCTAATAATTTTATTCAATCATCTATTTCCTTAATGTATTATTTTTTATTCTATGAGTTAGTGAGGGAAACCTGTTTAAATCTTCCAGTATTGCAGGCATGTCTCCTAGTTCTGCCTAGTTTTGCTTCATATGTTCTGAAGCTGATATCCATTATCTGAAGATATAGGATCCTCTTTTAAATGTGATATCATTTTAGGACAAGTAAGAAGTAGAGCCATAATTCTCACACTAATATTGAAAATTTTTCTGGAGTTCCCCAATTCTCTGAGAATTTTTAAATTTAGAAAAGATGTCAAATGATAATCTAAGAAAGTAAATATTCTAAAATCATAATCAGGGTTAACTGAATGAAAACTTCTAAAGGAGTAAAGATATCCAATTTCAATGTCTGAGCTGGCAGTGTTTCTAGAAGCTGGTGGTAAAATAGGCTAGGCTAGACTAAGAATAGACTTTTAAAATAAGCTAAGGAGTCATTCCAGGAGTTTAAGAGGAGAAACGTAATGGTAAGATCTACATTTTTAAAAGATCATTTAGCTATCCATATAAAGAATGACTTGGAAACTAAAAAACAAAAAGTTAGAACTAATTAAAGGAAACTATTATAATAGATGGATAGGAAACTGTGGCATAGTAGAGACTATGAAAAAGATCCAAAAGATTAGCTAAACGGTAAAATCTACAAAATCAGGTGAACAGACTGGCTATGGGATGAGAGGGAGGGGGTTATTAAAGCCAAAAGGGAATGATATAAAATGACTGTCAAGAGAAAATGATTAACAAAATATAAGTGAATTTAAAAAAAACACACATCTTTTTGTTTTTGGAATTTTAAGAATCAACTGACTATTCACAGACAACTGAAAAACCTACAGTTGGAAATTATGTCTGTAATTTTGCAACTGTTACAAAGTCAATGATTTCACTTTTATATCATGTGAGCTGTGAAATGGGTTTGGAAATTTTCCCTCTCTTTTGCTACATAGTCTACTTGAAAAATCTAATTTAATTTCTTTCTATACATCTTACTGAAGTTTAATGTCATCCTTTCCTTGCTGTTTATTTGGTAGCTTTATAAAAATGTCTTTCCTCTGAAAAGCTGACTTTATCTTCTTGGTTTTTATAGTGTATATGTGACAGTCACAAAATAAAATTATTTCTTCCTCTCTTCCCATTTTAAACAGGGGAAAAAGTTTATTTTCTTCATAGGCATATATAGAAACTGTCATGAAAAAAAATTAATGGGAAGTAATTTCTCATCATGTTAAATTTCACATAGGTCTTGTCTATGTGACTAACTTCTCTGTGATAGATTTTACTTCTTTATACATTAAAAAGCTATTTTGCCCGTTTCATCTCAGTGCCTAAAACAATGACACATGGTACGTTCTGAATGAATATTTGTTAAGTATTGAATAAACTAATTAATTCATATCTCAGATAGTAAGAGTGTAAGTATCAAGCCTCAGAGAAGGGTTGCTCTTACTTCATTTAGTAAGAAGTGTAGAATTCCCCTTACTGGATCTTTTTTCCTTCTCTGTACAATCTTCCAACACCATCCTAGGGTCTCTGCTGCTGGTCTTCTGTTAGCTCTTCTCGTATTTCTTCTCCCTACTCCTTACATCAAAGGCTTTCTAAGACTATTAAATTTTTCTTCACCTACATATGTTTCCAAAAGAAAGTCACTGCATTTAGTTTCTATGCATACAGTTATGACATTCATGTTTATTTTTTTAAAAATGAAAGCTGTCAGAAGCTAATTCCTACTGACTGCAAACATTTCAAGTCACAAAGTTATTATGAAGCACAGATTGCCTGTCCAGGATAAGGCTAGCTGCTAGACAGTAGGATATATCCCTTTTATAAATGGAATGTAAATGCCATAGTAATTTGATATCTACTATCAGCCCATCCATTTGAAAAGCACATGAACAAGATCTCCTTCCACAGTTAGGAAACTGATATTATTCCTTTTCTCCTTGAATTCATATTATCTCACTTCCCCCACACAAGCTTATCGCAACATATTTTAGTGCTTGAAAATACTTTAAATTGATATTTCTCTACAGAAAAGAGTATATTTTAAAATTCCTGAGAACATAAATTTAAAAAATTGTCATCAGTATTGTGTTATCATTAATTTACTAGAGCACTACTGATCAAATGAGAAACTCAATATAAATTATGATCATTATAAAATACTGTAAGTCAGTTTTATTGGAAATGCATCTCATACAGAAATGGATAGCACCTTCTCCCCCCATTTAGGTTGTGTATCAGAATGAATATTATTTGTTGTTAGGAAGAAACAGGGTTCAAGCTGATCCTATTCTTACATTTTGTGTTCTTCCATTCCAAATATTTGGGAGCAGAAGGATTTCTGGTTATATCAATAATCATTCTTCTGAACTACTAAATTATGTACCAAAAATCACATGGGGTATGTCATAAAATTATTTTTAATGATCAGCTGACAACTCAATTGAGTTCTTCTGAAGCATTTTCAAAAGCCATTGGAAATTACTACTCTTGTGAAACAATTAGCTACCCAGTTATTAGAATCATTTACTTTCTAACAAGACTTAGGTCAGATTAAAGGTATTGCTTTAATTGTAGAGTGGGAGAGGGACAATTACAAAAGAGGAAAGGGGAAAGCTGCCCTGGCTTAGGCACACTCTGAGGCAGATTGATTTTAGGAAAGAAACATGCAAGTAAACAGCGTGAAAATTAATACCCTTAAACTATCATTTACATAACCCCCTGGAAAGCCTTCATGTACTTCCCAAGGTTAAGGGTTAGGGATCCATGACGCCCAGTTTGCCTGCTGCTTCAGGCATATTCACAGATTCAGATACACAGTGTAACAGAAATCATGAACTTTGATTCTGCAATTCACGACATTCTGTGTGTGTGTGTGTGTGTGTGTGTATGTGTTTTGGTTGGGGGGGTAGCAGTATGAGCAACGAGGTATGGGAGGAAAGAAGGAAAACAGACTATGTAGGCTCAGATACCAGATTTTTCATTATTGGTAGTATTTTTGAATCTGTTTTGTATCTCTGCCACTGAAACCATTCCCTTACCCTAAGGCTTTTAACCTGGACATGTGATAGGTGGGGGAGAAGAGAGGAAGAATGCTTTTAAGACATTAATGGACGAAATGACATTGAAACTGATTTTAATATGAAAAGTGACATTGCTATTTCAACCTAAAGGTTTTGACATCTTAATTCTGTCCTGCTGACACTGCAGAGCCACACATACACAGTACTCACAAAACACAGGGTAGAGACACAGAAAACATGATCTCTAGGATGGTATGATTTAATCAAATTAAACTAATATAAAATTTAAATCACTAACCCGAAATTTGCTTTACAAATTTTCCTCAAAAGATGTATTCTCTTTCCTCTAACAGTAAATATTCGTCACAGCTTAGAAATATATAGCTCCCACTAAAAAAACAAAACACAACAGCACTTTTTTTCATTGTTTTAGCATAGTGCCTAATTAAACAAAAAATAAGATTTGAAGGAGCTCTAATGATGCACAGTTGCCTAAAAACAGAAGGAGGCTGAGCCACAGTCAAGAGTTGTGCCAGGGCCTATATTCTTTGTTCAGATATTGCTTTGAAATCCAACCTACCTCAGGGTAAAGGGAATCTCACTGAAGCCAGTCCTCACTCTATCCTTCAGGAGCAGCTCCTGATGGAAAATATCAGGACCTTGGTGAGAGGATGGGAGAAGGTGGGACAAGGTGGGGGAGAATATCTTGTGTTACCTATTTTTTTGTTTACTACAACCTGTAAAACAGGACCTTTTAAAAAGTGCCTTGTGTCAAGTATATGTTTATAAAGACCTGAATCGTTTTGAAAATTTCAGACTTCATTTGTAGTTACAGAAGATGTAATAATGGTTTAAAAAAAATTGTCCCAAACGTGGCCGGTACAGATGTTTTTTTGGATGACTGTAATTCACAACTCCTCTCTTGCGGTGAAATGAACATTCCTCAAAAAAAAGCCTAAGCAACCTTCCAATAAACTTTAATAGAATTAAGATTTGCTCTGGAAAACCATCCACTCACCTAAGCAATTGACTATTAGTTAAGAGTCTAATGTCCCCCAAATTCCTTTCTTTCTGTTATCTACTTTAATGATAATTATCTAACCATTTTCTTTTCCCATAAAATGTCCCTACCAAGACTGTATCTTTTATTTGACTTATCGGAGGTCTTTTTCCTTACAGCAAGATTGTAATAAAACTTCAACTTCTGCTTATAACAAAGCATAAGTGTGGCAAGTTTTCTTTAATAATTTATTTGCTAAGCTTAATTAAAGCGGATGCATAAGTGGATAGAAAGTGACCATTTCAGCTCAATTTAACAAATATCTGTATTACATTTTGTCATAAACTACCGTGGGTATGACTCTCCCTGCCCCCATTCCCTGGCAAAAAAAATTACGATGTTTTACTTGACTAAATTGATAGGCTTATGCATTCTGAATAAGCAAATAGTATTGTTAATAAGACCCACTTTTTTCATTATTATAATAGGGAAGTGTGTATTATTAAAACGAAAACAGACTGATCACATATAGTAAAATACTGACCTAAGTCATCTTATTTACTCAGAGAGATAAGATAAAAATGAATTTTCCTTCTTTTTCAACAAGTCTCAAATTATTCTAAATTGTGAGTAAAGATTCAACATTTCTAGATCTACAAATCAGAAACCAGATTATCATTTTACTTTTGATGATCTTGGGGTGCCTCAACCGATTTTGTTAGCATTCTTCAAAAACTAGGCAAAATATACCTCTTGGTGGTTTGCTTTTATTCTGTAAAGCGCATTACCGAGCCAATCGAAAAAGGATTCTTGTCCAAAATATTAAAAACACTGCTCTTACGTCCCAGCCTGATAAACTGAAGTGAATGGATCTTTCTAAATGATTACATTAATACAGATTTTAAAGTATTTTTTAAATGTCATGTCAACTTTAAGTTGTGCTCTTTGCTCATAACAGCCGTGAATTTTCACTTAAATCTAAAGCAAAATGAGAGGCTTAACAACAACAGAAAAATATTTTAAAGTAAACCCTAGAGCCGAATCCAATCCTTGATGAGCTGACTGTTGGTTGATGAATTAGAACTGCGATGCGGGGCTTCGCTGGTGGCACAGTGGTTAAGAATCCACCTGCCAATGCAGGGGACACGGGCTCAAGCCCTGCTCTGGGAAGATCCCATATGCCGCGGAGCAACTAAGCCTGGGCACCACAACTACTGCGCCTACACTCTAGAGCCCAAGAGCCACAGCTACTGAGCCTGAGTGCCACAACTACTGAAGCCCACGCACCTAGAGCCTGTGCTCCGCAACAAGAGAAGCCACCGAAATGTGAAGCCCGCGCACCGCAACGACGAGTTGCCCCCGCTCGCCGCAACTAGAGAAAGCCCGGATGCAACAACGAAGACCCAACGTAGCCAAAAATAAATAAATAAAATAAATTAATTTTTTAAAAAAATTGATGCAGAAACATCTTCCAACAGAACACTGACTCCAACGATATTTAAGTCCTTAGTCGAAAGGGCTGGGGAGGAGTATCACTGTTGCTAACTGGCAGTCAGTAAGGATAAATGCCCTATAATTAACCATTTTCTCCTTTATTCGTTTAATCAAAAATAGGCCTACAGCTGGAGGGGTTCCGTCTGCCTGCGGCCTCCAAGGACGGCCCCCAACTCAACTACTCGTGACCCCACAGCTCAGGCCTGTCCATCGTCTACCTGGCGCAGCCGGGTGCACCCTCCGAAGTCAACAGCTTCCACAATGTTAACAAGAGCTGTGTGCCGAATAACTAGGGGACCCGGAGCAACGCCCCTTAACTAGTCGGGTTGTTAACAGCTCCCCCGCAGGCGCGAATCGTCACGGGTCCCCAGTTCCCGGCCACGGCGAGGCGAGAACTAGAAACCCACAAGAGCGCTACTATGCGGAGCCAACACGCGCTACAACGTTCGGGGACCCCCAAGCGGACGCTGAGGGAAAAAGACGGCGCTGTAGGAGGCCAGCGACTCAGCCTCCGCCAAGGCGGATAACGTCTTACCACACTGAGGAACCGCCTCCGCCTCCCGCGTCGCCGGGGCCGCGCCCGTCCAGTCGCGGGAGCTCACTATACACGTAGTACGCCGCGGCCCCGCCCACCCTGCTGCGTAAGCTCACGACACGTAGCACGCCTCGGCCCCGCCCACCCGGCGGCGGAGGCTCACGGGGCGCGTAGTACGCTGCGCCCTCCTTTTCTGCGCACTTTTCCCCCACCCAGCCCCAGCACTGGCTTGGCGAACGCCCTCCCATCTTCCTCCGGCCTGACTTCCGGTTTGCTTGCGCGGCCCAGGCTCCGAGTCGTGGATTACTGGAGGCCCCATTTCCGGTCGTGCGTTGGACGCCCTGTTGGCCAGCCCCGTCGGCCAGCCCCGTCGCTGCGCTCCCCCTGTGCGGTGCGGGGCTAGGGCGGGCGCTGACGGGGCCGGGTAACCGGCCTTCTCCGGCGGTGGCTCGGCCCTCGGCTTTGGCTCGGCCCTCCTTCCAGAGTCTCCCGGGCTGTAGCCGACTGGCCGGCCGCGCCGGCCCTGGCGCCACCGAGGCGGGAGAAATGGGAGTCCCTCCGCGGCGTTCCCGGAGCGGCTGCCTTTGCTGGGGAATCGGCGCTGTCTTTGAGGAAACAGGAAGCCCGCGGTGACCCCTAGCGACCCGGTTTGTTTTTGGGCCATTTCCAAACGCTGGGGAATCGAAACTCTGCGGCCCTGGGGGCGGCCCCACGGAGCCTGTGTTCGGGGTGAGTGACCCGCTTTGGCCGGCCCGGGGGCGCGGGTGGTGCCGGGACCACCCTCTGCTGCCGTCGCCGGTGCGGAGGGACGCGTCATTTCTCCAGACCTTGGACCAGGGAGCGGCCCGCCCGGCATCCTCGACCGCGTCTACTCGCGCGAGCCGGGTCGGGCCCCGCTTGGTCCTCGGTTCTCCCTAGTGCTTGTTTTCTTACCGTGCTCTGGTTTACCGTGGCGCCTGCAGTTTTATTTCATTCATTGGGGCTGCATTTAAATCGGATACCAAAGAGGGGCGTATGGTTAGGACGGTCCTGCTTGGGGTGATGTAAATCGACCCCTGTACATCACCGAGGGCTAACAGTAATGTTAGGTTTTTTCAGGATGGTTTTCCATCATTTGTTGAGTGGCTACTAGATGCTAGGTAGGCTGAGTCCCTCGTCTCTACAAACAAGGAACTCAGATACTTAGAAGTGAGAGAAAATACAGAAACTGTAATACAGATGAAAACAAACTGCTCCAGGATATATTGGAGATATGCTGAGATGATCAAAGACAACCTACTAGGATTGAAATTGATCCTTGCCTTTTAAACATAGAAGACGCTTGCTTTTTTACTTTTAGAGCTTTAAATTTGACTGAATAAGATCTCAGGACATGGTTTACATTACAGTTATCTAAACTTACGGTGTCTAATTTACCAACCTGTTGCGATCACTCCTTACATCGTCTGTAAGTTACGAATGGTACATCCTTCACAGGGTTGTTAAATTTTAATGCTATGTTTTTCTAAGATGGAAAGTTGTACACAAATGTAAGGTTTTAATGTTAAAGAGACATTGTAGTGAAATGGGAAATGCACTGGATTAAGTCAGAACATTAACTCAGAATCTGACTGCTGAATTTACCACTCACTTGACGCTGCCTAGGAAACCAAAATTCATTTTCCCTATCTCTAAAATGGGAATAATCTTTCTCTCCAAGGCATCAAAGCACAGTTTCCAAGAGTTTGCAGGCTCAGCGGCCATGGCTCACGGGCCCAGCCGCTCTGCGGCATGTGGGATCTTCCCGGACCGGGGCACGAACCCCTGTCCCCTGAATCGGCAGGCGGACTCTCAACCACTGCGCCACGTGGGAAGCCCGCTCCCACTGTTTTAATTGCTCCATCTGTGATATAAGGAAATTCTTGCTCACCTCGTAGGTCTTATGTAGATTTAATGAATTGTTATGGAGAACAAATGAGCTAGTTCCCCTAAAAGTCAAAGCACACTGCCTGACATGCCAACACAAAGCATTGTCATGATTATTAAATAAGATGATTTGATGGAAGTACTTCATAATTCTTGAAGTAATGAAACCAGTGTAATTTAATTTTTTTCTTTCTTTTGGTACCTATATTTTGGATTAAAATACAGTTGTCATATCACTATTAGAAAATAAATAACACTAATACTAGTAACATTTAGTGTGTGAAGATGCTCAGTTGCATTGAGATGTATTATTTATGAAAGGAATGAAAAGAAGTAGACTGCTTTTCATACCTGTGCTAACCCAGAAAGAGTCTTACGATTCCGTAGCCAGGGTAAGCTTTGCTTTTTTTTAATTTTAATATTTCGTTCATCTTTCCCTTTCGGTACTTTCTCTGTAGCGCCATTGGTGATTAAATTTCTATCTACTATACTTTAGATGTATGGTGAATGTTTTATTTGATTAGTTTATGGTAGTAGCGGTGGGAGGGGCTATGGGCTAGGTATGGTTCAAGATATACACGGATTGTGGAATCTTCTAGGTGTAAACTAGATGCTTTGTTTAAGCTATATCTTGTTTTGTCCAAGCACACTTTCCAGTATGCTTACCTTGTTACAACTTGTCTCCTCTTATAGTTGCTTAGCATGGGTTAGTGAGCTGGGGCTTTGCTGTGATACTTGAGGAGGGTGACGGGCGGTGTGTGCGTGCTTCATGGCCTTATTCAATTAAGCACTCTGCTCTTAATTTACTACTAAATCCTCCTTTAGTTTTTAGATTTCATAAAAACTTTCGTGTGGATATAAGGGGTGTTCTTAATATAGAAAATGTAGCCCATTTCTTCCCATCCCATAGGTTACACCTTGAGCTAACGTTTTTATGTATGGTAGTTATGCTTACTTTTGCTCCCTTTTAGGGTTTGCTGAAGATGGCGGTATATAGACTGAAGTAGCAAGGGTTGGTGAGGTTAATCGGGGTTTATCGGTTACAGAACAGGCTCCTCTAGAGGGATATGAAGCACCGCCAAGTCCTTTGAGTTTTAGGCTGTTGCCAGTAGTACTCTGGTGAATAGTCTTGTTTTGTGACTATTTAGGTTTACGACTAAGCATAGTGGGGTATCTAATCCCAGTTTGGGTTGTCGTGTACTCAGATTGTACTAAAGTCACTTTCGTGGTTTAGCTTAGTTTTAATTATGGCTTTTTACAGCTTAATTAGGATTTGACTTTATTTTGCATGATTCCTTAACATTCTTTACGCCGTGTCTCTATTAATTTGGGTCAGTCGTATGACCACGGTGGCTGGCACGAAGTTTACCAACCCTAGTTAACATGACTTAGTCAAACTTTCGTTCATGGCTTAATTTTTATCACTGCTGTGTCCTGTGGGGGTGTGGCTAAGCAAGGTGTTGTGAGCTGCTAGTGTAGCGTGCTTGATACCCGCTCCTTTTGATCTTTGTGATTTGGAGGGCATTCTCACCGGGATTTGGATGCTTGCATGTGTAAGTCTGTTAAGAATTAATAGAAAGGCTGGGACCAAACCTTTATGTTGATGGGGCTGGCGAAGCCCATCTAGACATTTTCAGTGTCTTGCTTTATGAAAAAATTTAAGCTACATTAACCCATGGGGTGTAAAAGATGTTCGTATAATTTCATTATGGGGCTAGTATCAGATTTAGTATTGATTTATGAAAAAAATTGTTCGTAGATCTAGGGACGAAGCTGTCTAGGGGGGTGGTGAATATCTAAGCAGATGGTTAGTTTTGTAGGGGGTAAGGGGGGTTTGATCCACTACGAGATACAGTTTTTTGAGCCCGGGGGGAATAATGGAGTACTGTGTCCTGTAACCATTAATTTAATTGCACATGTTGGTTGTGCTAGTCAAATAAAAAATACATACAAGCCCAGCTACAATTTGCTTGACTGTGACGAGACCTTTTAAGGTCATAGCTGAGTCTGTGCAGGCCCCCCCCCAAAAAATAAAAAATACCAAATGTATGGAATCTCAGTTATGTGTGAGCATGGGCTGATTAGTCATTAACCCATCGAGATGTCTTATTTAAGGGGAACGAGTGGGCGATTTTAAGTTAAAATGGTCCTGAAGTAAGAACCAGATGTCTTATAAAGATCACCGTTAATGACATGTTCTGTGTACGATCAATAATATTATGTAAT